TTCATTGATGCTCTTTTCTGTTGCTACATGCACTGAATTGCTGCCGTGTGATTGGCTGTTTGGATAGTTGCGTCATTTAGCAGCTGAACAGCCAACAGGGAATCTATACTCCTGAAGTAAGTTGTGAAGAGTCGGGAACGCTGAGGCGGAGCTGAAAGATGACAGGAATGGCGTCTCTGAGCCCTCTTTAAGCACCTCAGTGACAAAATGTCAGCTTGTGGAATAAACTGCACGGCTCTGATCCTCTGAGCGCTCCCGCCTCCTCACAAATATCTGTGCTCGCTCATTTCCTACGGTTATTGTGACGTCTCGTGTGGTTGAGCGCCCCTCCTACAGTTCTGACCACATTAGCTTCTCACAACAGGCACGACTGAAAGTGTGAAAATAGAAAGTTTCATACAGATTATCAAAAGTAGACTCGGTGTTGTCCCCGTCTGACACCAAGTGACTCATTTCGGCTCCAGATTTCATTTTGAAATGACACAAAGTAACTGAAGAGAATTAGAATATGTTTATTTAAAGACATCGTGAGGATGTTCTTCCAGCTCAGAGTGCGGAAACCCTCCAAGAAATGAGCCGCAATTGAAAATTTGATCGCAGTTGTGATTTCTTGAGTCTGCTGCGCTTTGGGCTAAAACTATCTCGCCGTCTTTCAGGGAAAAGTCAAAGAAGTTTGCAGAGCAAGCGGCCGCCATCGTCTGCCTGCGAGTTCTGGGAGTACCAGAGGGACGGATCGGCGAGGAAGACTCCGGCCTGGTCTGCAAAAGGAAGAGGGAGGGGAAGTTGAACGGTGCCGCAGAGGAAGAGAGGAGTAGGAAACGGCACGTAAGCGACGTCCTGCAACAAACCTCAGAGGTCGCTGTGGTAACGAACGGTGACAGTCACCAAGAGGCTCCGCCTCCGAGCCAGCGGGAGAGCCTGTGAGGAGTTTAACAGCTGGCAGTGACCTGCATGATCAGACATTTAACCCAGAAAGGAACTCTGAGTTTGTGCTCAGTTTTATTTTTTTTTATTATTCATCACTTCATCTGATTTAAACTCAAAGTAAATATTTTTTAAACCCAGCACGGCTGACATTCGTCTCACAGCTCAGGTCTGATCGTTTAGTCCCGTTAACCACGCCGCTCATCCGCCTCTGTCCTGTGGATGTCTGCACGTGTGCGGGGAGCCACGCCTCCTAATGCACGCGGTTAAAACCCATCAGAACTCGCTGGGTTTTATATGAAACGTCTCGCGCGTGGCGTAGCCATCACACGGTGTCCGACCTGCAGAACAGACGCTATCCAGTGTGAGAGCCTCGGGTGTTTGATAAGAGAAGATTAAATTAAACTCAGACCTCCTCCAGCTCTCTTCTGGGGTGGTGGGGAGGGCAAGATCTCTCCAGGAAGGGTCTCCTCCTGGGTCCAGAACACCTCACCTACCAGGAGGAGCGCCACTCTGTCTCTGAGGGAGAGCCCCGCCCCCTTCAGAAGAAGCTCATTTCTCCCGTTAGTAACCCCGATCTCTCCCGGCCACAGGTGAGGGTAACAACAACAATCAGCAGCTTCACCATTAGTTTCATCACTGCAGCTGCTCGTCTCCAGCCCGGGTCCTTATGATTTACAGACAAACGGCTGTTGGATAAAGGAAAGCTGGCACAAACATCGAGCTCCTACATGTGAGGCTTTAATGAAAAACCTCACCAGAGGTGCCACACGAACATTTCACACACGCGTCCTGCAGCAGGTGAGCGACGGTTTCAGGGCTCGCCTAAAATCTGAGTCAGATCCTGGAATAAATGCAATCCTGTGGCTGCTCGTTACTGATTCCTGTCAGTCTGGTGTGAGCTGAGTGGACGACGCTGTGCAGCTGGAGCATCAGAGCGTCTGCCTGTAGATGTCTCTGTGCTGGACAGGTGAAAGAAGAGGGCGGTGCTCAACTTTTCAATTCAAAGTTGAATCTGTAGAGCGTTGCAGAAAGCCGTTTTAACACCCGGTGCCTTACTCTGTCTTTTGTTCATGATTTGTGGAAGAGCCTCAACCGCACCGTGTGCTGATGGAGAAGACGTCTGTGATTTGTGCGGCTTCTCGCCTCTCGGTAAACACTGACTGTCACACTTTGTGAACTTGTTTTGATCTCATGATCTTCTTTGTTTTAAGGTATAAAATCTGCCAAATGATGTCATGTTTTATGTTCTTGCCAAAGGAACAACGTGTGCTTTTCTTTGTCTGCAAGTTGAATTAAAGCATGTGCAGCCTGGTGGATCTGTCCTCACAGAGCTCAGCTGTTCATAATGACATTTTGGACACTTTTCATTAACACTGGCTCAGGCTATGTTTGCCTCCATTAAAGAGGTCGTCTTTGTTAACCAAATGTGCATGTGGCTCATTTCCCCCTCAGTAATATCTGAATTTAATTGGATTTTAAACCCAGAACTTGAATCGCTTGTTTTGTTGCAGCAGGATTTCTGCTCGTGTTCAGAACTTTCTGCACAGTCAGATGAAAGAAAAATAATTATCAAACTAGCTAAACTCAAAAACATGACTGGCTACACAGCTGACTGTTTTTACAATTATTGAATCCAGTGATGAGGCACAGAAAGCTGCAGTTCCTCTAACATCCACTAGAGGCTCCCGCAGTCAGTCCATCCCATAGACTCCCATGTTAAAACTTTGCTGGAGATATGAACACGTTTACAGCCTGATACACAAACTTCGGTCTCTACAGGTGTTCTCTTTATAACACCTGTGCAGGTGGGGAGTCACTGTGTAAACTGCATAAAGGCTGAAAGTTCGAACTATTCAGGGCGTGGCCTCTCTGGCCTGATAGGCGGATGGTGACACAGGCGGCTGTAGCTGCTAGCTGTCTGTTAGGCTTCACCTCTGGTAACTGGAGTCCCTGAACTGGACCTCTGGACCGTGTTTGTGCTGTTTGGAGCATTTTTTTTTTTTTTGGTCATGAGTGAAATTCTATTTCCGCACTAATTTGCAGGCGCTCCCATACTGTTTATGAATGCAGCTCGTTCTCATTAGCTGATAAATGAATACTCCACACTGTTGTCTAAACATGGTCACTTCTGGGTCCCACTAACCAGCATGGTGGCAGCCAAAAATGTTAAAACGGAGGCTTTAATATTCACTCATGAACCAACATGTGAGCTGTGTCCATCTTTCACATACAGTCTATGCCTCTCCTCTTCTCACTGTTCTGATCTTTAGCAAACATGAGCATGACATTAAAGAAGAAAGATTCTGTGGTTTTATTAACTCGTATTTGATCAACTTTTGGTTCAGGACGTGCTCAGAAAATCTCAGGAGAACGCGATCAATAATTATTAAAAAATATTTCTCAATTTTCTGTTATTTGTGTCGACCTTCATCCACAGATCAGCACATCTCTGTGGTGTCGCTGTATGATGTGGAGGCCCAGGGATAACAATGCTCGGCAGTCCCTCATAAAGAGGGTCACCTGGTCGCCCAACCCACACCTGAACCTGAGGTCCGGTTCATGAACCGGCAGGTGTGAGTTTTCCTGGGCTGACTTCGAAATTCATGCAGTTTTAAAACCTTTAGCTTCCTGTGTGACATGTTTCAAGTAGCCTGGGCCTGTACTTGCTTCACCTGACCTCACCTGAACTCACCTGAGGTCAGGTGAGGTCAGAGCTTCTGCACGCAGAACACGAGCGTCACTACACAGGTGTGCCACATGGTGTTAACATAAAACCGCCCCTTGTGTTTAACGAGTCCCGTGAAGTCCTGAGCTGAACCTGTGAGGTGAAGACATCCTGCTGCTGACGTCAAATTAGGGCGGTCTGATGGTGCCTTCATGGGCGCTGCGAAATACGGTTTCCACCTGCTGATCTCTGGGAGGGGACTCAAAGAAGGTGCAATGTGAAGCTGTGTGTCTGAAAAAATGGTCATAATTAAGGAGAGGAACACCCTGTGGAGGCTTTCTAAAAGCACATGGCAGCTATCTGTCAGCTGCTCCGTGGAAAACAAGATGAAGTTGGGTGAGGCCACACAGGAAACTAACGTCTCACAGCTGAAAAAGGAAGTGCAAGGTTAGCAGCAGTGTGCATGGAGAGATACTACAGTGCTGCACTTTAAATATGAACACAGGAACTGCTACAGATCAGCAGTTTCTGACTACAAAAGCGGGGGAGCATATTTAAGTTATATTTCTGTTCATGAATCAATTATCGGATTATATAAAAAGAGACAGTAATAATAAATGCTCTGCTTACAAAAACAGATGTATTCTTACAGCAGCTGGAGACAAATGAACCATGTCTTAAAGATCTTATTTTGAAATTATAGCTCAGACATGATGAAACACATTAGCTGTTTTTAAAAGGAATTCGAGGGTTCTGAATATCTGACTGGTGTAATCTTTATTTTTATGAATTGAAAACCTGTTATGACACTAGTCATCATCTTCTATTGGCTGCTCTCTTCAGGGGTTGTCGCAGTCGACCATCTGCCTCCATCTTCTCCTATCCCAGCATGCTCTTCTGTCACTCCATCCCTCTGCATGTTGTCCTGCACTACATCATCGAACCTCTGAGGTCTTCCTTCTTTTCCTTCCTCCTTCGTTACTTTGGATGCTTGACCCCATCCAAATGGGAATCCCCTCCCATCACACACAGCACCACTTCATATGCTTCTCTGCTACTCCTGAATTCCTCATGCAGTACCACAGTTAAATAAATAAATAAATAAATAAATAAAAATACATTCTTTTAAATTGTTAAATAAATGGTAAAGTTTTTTTGTTTTCAGGGTTAACTTCCTGTTTGATACTTGCCACACCCATCTATGACATGCCACACCAAGATATCACAGCTAAGGTTTATTTAGAAAAAATAAACAAACATAAAAAGTAAACAACGTTTAGATCGAACTCTTTATTTCCACTTTTGGCAGTATATAAACCCTGCCCATTTTCACTTTTGGCTTAATGGGACCGTTTTCAAAAAGCCCCGGTCACGCGTAAACACGATGTATTGGGGTTTCCGAGGCGGCCGTGAAGGCAGCAAACGGATCAAGCTGGAGGAGCGTAAAAAGTGAACGCGAGCAGGAGCCGCGAGGACAACAAGTTAGCGCGGATAATGGGACCATTGTGCTCCAGCAAGGCAGACCGCAGGCGTGTTTACTGAGCCGTCACATGCCGCCGGCCAACTTTTAGCTCGGATTCAGTCGTCGTTTCGTTCGGCGGGTCAGTTAAAAACAGAGTTCTGCTTTCAGTCGGATGTCAGTGAGTGAGACAGGTCACTTTTAAAGACAGGCAGGCAGACAGGTCGGCTGCACGGCTTCCGCTGGGGGACATTTTCGGCTCTGTTCACTTCAATGTCCACAGTAAACTGCGCGGAGGAGCTGGACTTCAGACTCATCTTTGAGGACGACGGCAGGCAAACGGCAGGTACGTGTCATTTTCTCGACGTTAGTTAGCAATTTGTCGGCGGCGTCAAGCTAGAGCTAAAGGGGGCGCCACCGGAGGTGAACGGCTTTGGCCTTCAAAATAAAACACGGCACGAAACTGGACAGACTTTTGAAGCTGCCGCAAAACTTGTGTCAGATGTTCATTTTTATTTTGTGGTGACTATTTCTAGATTTTTTTTTCCCGCTGGGTTCCCCATAAGGTTTAAATCAGTATAATCAAGCCATTACGTTACATTTTTTTTAATAAATGTTCCACCAGTAGCAAGTAGACATTGGACTATCTGAGATGTTCTTTTACATTTCCTTAAAATGTTAGCCAAATATATACAATTCCTTCTCCTATAAAGTACTCTACTCATTTGAAATAGTCTCAAAACATATTCATTGTTTAAAATGTTAAAATGCTAAAATAGAAATATGAGCATGACTGGCACAGTTTTATCTCCATGCACTGTATTTTATGGTGTAATAATAAACAGCTTTGTAATAATCTACTAAATTTACTGTGTAAACTGTAGCCGTTTGTCTAAATGACAGATTTAATGACCTGTAGCTCTTTGTCTAATGACAAGGATTACAGTTCCCGTATTTCAAGCAGCTACGACAGTGATTAATGATTATTTTAGTCGGTAATCAGTTTATAATCCGAAAACAGTCCAGAAACACGTCACCATAGTCGAATACTTTGCGCGAATTTACTTTGAAAATCCCGACCGGATGTTGTGATTTTGTGTTTTGGTCGACGTGACACATCAGCTGTCTGCTGATAAATGTGGATCAGGAGGTGAATAGAGGGCCAAACCAGCTTCTTCACTTCCTGCCTGACTTATTGATAGACTTACCGATTAATCAGCAGATCAATGATGTCTGAACTGAAAACCATTAACAGATATTTTAACATTTACGTCATCTGACCTTTACTGCAAAAGCTCTTAATGGTGGCTTTTTTTAACATCTTATCTTCATTTTATTTTTCAATAAATCAATTTATGGAAAATAAGATTCAGAAAATAGGAGAAAAAAATCACAGAAACCTCACTTTACCCCAGACTTCAGCGTAAAAGTCAGAAATATCAACTTTGTTCAAACTTGATTTGAAAAAAAAAAAGGTAATCAGTTGACTCATCAAATAGCCAATGGGCAAACATTTATAACACATCGAAGTAAGAGGAAGTTGCAGTTTTGAATTAATGTCCACGAATAGCAACGTATGTGGCGTGTTTGTGGCTTTAAGTCTTGTGTGTGTAACCCGAAATCTATCGGGTGGTTTCCTGCTCGTTAAAAATTTACTCCCCACCAATCATGTTGGAAGGAAAATCACCAGATCGTCATTTTAAAAACCAAAATACAAAGGGAGGGTTTAATTCACTCATGCATAAAATACATTTGTTTATCAAACGGTCAGAAATAACAGGAAGATGCTTTTCACTATGATAACAAAGACGTCGCCCAAAAACTCTGATTTAAATGGAAAAACCCCCTGACTAAGAAGTCTTTTTGCAACGTTCCGGAAATTGAGAATTAGTCGTATTTTTAGTTTCTCGTGGCTGATATACTCATAACAGCATGCTGTTTAAATGCTTGGTTACTGAGGGGCAACCAATCAGAAAGGGGACTGGAATACACTTTACTTCTGTATGGCATCTGTCATAGAAATAGATGATGCCAGATATTGCAGCGCCTTTAGGCGACTGTTGTTGTGATTTGGCACTGTATAAATAAAATTGAATTTAATTGGATAAAATGTGAAAGAATACAACAGACGGAGCGTAGACTATAGCTGTCTAATATGTCTAACACTTGAAGAAAGTACGCTTTGTTTGGTTTTCTCCAACTTCATTTATTAAGAGTCTGTAGCTATAGCTCCACAAACGCATTGCCTGTGACAGCCCTGATATAAAATAAAAAATTATAACCGACTTCCTTTCATAGAATAACATAAAAAGATTGTATTGAAGTTCTACTGATGCACAGCTACTGTAGTAGAGTCCAAGAATAAAAGCATGAAGCTGGAACGAAGCAGAAGAGGTCACTTTAAATTGTCATATTTTTCAAACATTTATGCATTTGATGCACCATAGACGAGATATTTTCAGGCCTCATACTCATACCTGTGCAGAAAAGCCTGCGTGACGTGCTGTCGGTACTTCTGATTTTTATCATCAGCTAAAAGCACCTAACTGGCATTTTTCTGCATTGCAACAAGCTCCAAACCTGCCTTTGTCTCCTTGTCAGTTTCACACTGTCAGCAGGTCAAGTTAGGAGTGATGTTTGTTTTTAGAGGGCTGGGTCTTCAGCTGGCTCAGCTTCTGCCTTCATGCTATAACTTTGATTATCTGCTTGCTGATGTGCTGACGCCGTTTCCTGATCTGAGTGTTTTCTGTGTTTGATGTTTAACCTGCTGGAGGTCCCACCCTCTCGTTTTTCTTTATCAATAGTTCAAGCTTTCTGAAGGTCTAAATTGGCTCTTCAGACACTTTACTAGGAGCCTGTTTCAAAAATACCTGTGTCTTTAGTTAAATCTATGAAAAGTGTCAAAAGAAGAATCCATTCTTAATTAAGGGAAGCAGGAGGAAAGGCTGAGGTATGAAACGTATACAAGAATTGGACTGAAATGGGTCTGATGGAGCGATGGATCCAGATCCAGTATAGATGGAGGAGGTCAGGAGAGAGGTCCAACAGTGAGGCTCCAGCCTGTGAGACACGGTGGAGGCTCGGTCATGGTTTCAGCCAGTGCTGTCGGAGATCTTTGTTAAAACTGATGAAAGTCAGATTTGATCCACTGTACAGTAACATCTGTAACATCTGCGTCTCATTTGGATATTAGGTTTGTTCTTAGTTGACATCACCTGTGCTAAATCCAAAGTGTTTCCACATAATGGCCGATTCTGCTTTTAGAAACAAGCTGTTTTCCTTCTGCTGTGCCAGACGTTTGCTCTTTGTTTCAGCCGTCTGTTATTGGTTGTGTGTCTGTCGTTCAATGTAGTGTCGTTTCTGTTGGCGGAGTGTTTTCCGTATCATAACTGAGGTTAATGATAATATATTAATTAGGGCTGCCACAATCGATTATTCTGATAGTCACCGATTATTTTTGCGATTAGTCGACTAATCAGATCATCATCCATTGGACGTAAAACGTACAGCTTATTGCACCAGCAGCATCTGCTCTTATATAACTATCATTAGCTTACAGCTTTAAGTGTTTCAGGTCTGTGCTAACTAAAAATAAAGACAAGATGATAGTTTATTCAATTTTAATGA